CGCAAGAAAATGTTCTAGCCGAAGCATCAGGGGAGAGACCAGCCGGCCCCCAGACCATATCGGCTAATCCCTTGCATCTCTGCCACGCACGGAATCGGTAGAAAAATACTGTTAAAAAAGTCTAGTCTATTCGGTGCATTGTCCTCACGGCTATTGTTATGCTGATTCACCTGGAACCGTGGTCCAGTGGATAAATCGTTGTCATCAAGATACTGAGTCAAGCTCGTCTGAGGAGGGTTAGCACTTGGATGGGTGACCTAAACATTATACCTACTTACGCTTTTTCTCCTTTCCGATTTTCTTTTTTGATTTCACCACAACACTCATAAGGACAACAAAGTACGCTCATTTTCTCTTAGATATTACATCGACAAAAGGCGTACCCCTGAAGCGTGTGAAGGGGTGCGTAGTAGCCGAGTTTTACGAAGATCACAATACTCAAAAGAACACCAAAGCCAGCTTGTTTTAGAAATGACATCGACAGGAGTGTCTATTAATCGTTTTTTTTTTTTTTTTTTTTTTTTTTTTTTTCTTTTTTCAAAGAAAAGAAAACATTATTAACCATGTGAATGAAAAATGATTCCTAACCATTTGAATTTAACATTTTGAATTTGAGTCCTTTCTTTAGAAAATTTATCAATCGTATTAATATATCATTATTAATATTACAACAGATATCTATAAATATATTAGAATCATCAAAATACATTTCGCGGTATGAGTGCGTAGCTGCGTGGTAGGAAGCGAGAGTAAAAAAACTTGAATGAATGAATGACGCAATCCTTAGATGAGAAATGAATGAATATGTCCAATTTATTGACGTTTTTCTACCAATCACGTTTCTCCGCTAAATGGTGTGATATTTGATGGGTGATCGAACGTGCAATACCATACGTGCTGCGATCTGTGAATCACACTGGATTTTTTACTTCCGATATTCGATACTAAGGAGAATTGAAAAAGATATCTCCTATCAAATATATAAAGAAACAAATCATTTGTAAAAAAACAATTTCGTTATTATTTGTGTAACTAAGCATTGCTTTATATATCATTTATAAATGCGTTAAATGGTTTCAATTTCGTGAATATTGAAAAGATAAAAAAACATTTTATCTAACTACTGATTGAAATATATATTCTTAATACCTTCGTTTGCCTTAGCGCGCCAACCCTCATGAATGGGCACCAAAACACGTCTCGGTCTAATACAACATGGTTGTGTCCTGAACACGACTCTCATCCCAAAAATATTATCTCAATCTTACAGGAATCTGGGGAAAAAACAATACAAGGAAATACAAATATGAGTGCTACGGACGAAGAAAAAATATTTGAAGTTTTGGTTGGGATTCAACTGGATCAGTTCTATCGGCGAATTGTTGACAAACTCCATGTAACTCGGTTTGGTCATTTTGACCATGTCACTGAGGATGACTTAGACGATCTTGGAATGTCAAAACCAGAACAGAGAAGGCTCTTCGAAGCTCTTAAAAAAGCAAGAAAGAAACCATTGTTTTCGAGTTTTCGTCGAAGGGTAAGCTACGAAATACGAAGCTCTTATACGCCGACACGAATGAATTWAAAAAATTTGCGATTCATTCGTGTGGAGTCAAATTCGAGTCATAAATCCCTAACTTTTCACGGCAGATTATATTCATTTAGTAATAGCTCTAATTTCTAAGGCTTTTCCCTTATGTCCCTGGTGATTTCTAAAATGATCGACTATTCTTTTGGGTTGCTTTGGTTGAGTTTTCGTGCTAAAGCGAACTCGATTTTTTGTTCATATACGCGTGCTATCTGATCTTTCCTGTTCTCCTATGTAGCATCATCACCTTATCTTTCATGAAGTTGTTCTTATAAAATTTTACAGCATGATTTTACTAGATGCTGAAAATTTTTCGAAAGCCGGCAATCGAACGTTCGATTTCTTTAATTGGCCTGTTTTATGATCGATTTCCATACTGTTTTATGATCGAATACCATTCGTGTGTTCCATCACATTTTTTCTAACGTTTTTACTAATTTATCTCAAAAATCATTCCTAAATCAAAGGTAAAATAGTATATATTTTCCTTAAACTCAAGCCCTTCCTTTCCACACACCCACTCTTTCACGCTTTCGTAAGCACTGTGTTTTTAATGTGTAGATACGAATACTCTTTATTATTCGTCGTATCTTTGGTAACCATTAAAAGCCAGGAAAAACCTGACTGTAAATCCTTAATAAATTAAAATCAACTAAATTAAAATACATTTGAAAAATATCTGTCTCTTAATAATGTATCTCAGAACTCATATTTTTATTTTCGTACACATCATCATTGTATTCCTTTCGTAGCATTGAATTTTTTATCTTAATAAAGATCTTCAAAGGGCAGTAATTTTCATTGTAAGGTTACATTCCTCAACGAAAATCAATAAACGTCAAAATATTGTCGATAAATCCCTAACTTTTATCACGTACATTTACCAATTTTCTTACTCACAACAGTGCCCTGATATCTGCATTTTGTATTTTTATACTTTTAATGGCCTTAACCACAACAAAATGAGGCTGAGGAAGTCTGGCAGACATCATATACAAACTGGCTGTATTCCATCATTGTGTCACTAGTTGTTACTTAGTAGTTATGAACAACATAAAGGTTGAGTCAAATTTTTTTTTTCACAAATATTTGATCATATATATGCCAAATTTCAAAATCTAGTATTTTTTTTAGTTTCTCTAATAGTAGTGTTAACAATTATAGGCAATCAATGAATTTATTCATGAGTCATGGAGATTCTATATTATGTTTTCAGGACACATTAAGGCTCAGGTCAAACATTGAACTTCATAAGAGCCGAACATAAATACATCAAAGAAGACTACCTTGTTATCCATTGTTTCAGTTAGGTTCGGCTCATGTGAAGTTCGACGTTTGACCTGAGCTGAAGAGTATAATTGCCTATAATTCATTTGTTTTTGTATGTAGGTCCTGATCTGCATCCCCTCTAGATAACATAGTCACATATAATACTTTCAGCAATTTAGGTTTTTTAATTGTTTCTTATCTGCATTTATTAGCTCTTTCTACTAGTCCTTTTACATCCGATGCGCTGCTGAATTTAATCGTTTTATTTACTTCATTTATATATACTATGATTGTGAATGGCATTAGACAAAATCACTCAGGATAACAGTTTCATGTGTTTTATATTGTCTGCGGAATGATTGCATTGCTTATATAATTAATCTGTGAAATAGAAATTTATGGTATTTGGTGTTTGCTTATCAAACCCTCAAGCAACAACCTCTGGGCTGATCTAAGTCAGGGCACCACTATCTAACTCACAGATATCAACCCTGAAACAACGTATTAACCTCTGGGCTGATCTAAGTCAGGGTACGACTAACTCACAGATCAAACCCTGAAACAACCTCTGGGCTGATCTAAGTCAGGGCATGGCTAACTCACAGATCCAACCCTGAAACAACCTCTGGGCTGATCTAAGTCAGGACATGACTAGCTCACAGGTCAAACCTCAAAACAACCTCTGCGCTGATCTAAGTCAGGGCACCTCTATCTAACTCACAAGTAGAATTGGAATTTATTGTGAGGAGGAAATCTAGAGATCCTGGAATCAAGAGGAAGACCTATCTAAAACACCTTTCATCTCACATATGTGATATGATGATCAGTCAGGAATCAAACTAGCCTGCCTTGATCAGCCAGTATGATTTCTCTCTAAAGATATTGATATCGCTATTATATTCATTTTGAGAGAAATTATACCGCTGAATGAAGGCTGGAATCAAACCTGAGACCACGAAGGTTGATAAGTAATTCAAGATTTCTATTATAACCTGTAGAATAAAGATATGTGGTCATTTTAATTAAGCTTAATCTAATAAAAGTGCATAACAGGAAGTGCGATAAACCATATTGCCCATGTATTATTAACATATGAGCATTATTGATAACTATATGTTAGATTATTAATCCATTAGTTTACTTGTTTTTATCCATCATTTGGTATAACACCATATCCGTAGTATCTTTTTACAGTGATGACTTTTATCTTCTATTACCATACATTTTCTATCCTGTCATTATACAGTGATAACAGTAATTGATGTGCAAGGTGGTACTGACTTTTCATTAAGCTATCAAAAAAAAAAAAAACCCAGAAAACCAAGATATCCACATTATTTAAAATACTTTTACATTTTCAAGACATTAAGTTACATTTTTAATGAAATTTTGAAATTTTGTTCGGAACATTTCAGTTCATAAGTTCATATTGTGGTTAACCTATTTTTGATTGTTTTACATGCTGATGTGTGATCAGCATTTCCTCTCATTAGGCTGAATTATGAATACAAAAACAGCTCAGGTCAATAGGTTATCCTGATTCCTGTCTGTGGTAGGCCATTTAATCAGTTCAGTTGTGCTTATGGTGTATTTTTGTTCATTCTTTCGTTTTGTGCTTAATTTTTGTGCCGACCTCTTAATGCCATGGTTGTAGGTTCAATCCCTAAACTTGCTTCCCTGTTGGCAGAGGCTCCTTATTTTTCTCCTTTTTTGGGAGAATCACAGAGGGAGAAAAAAAGATATCCAATCCAGCAAAAGAAAGAGAAATGGAGACTCTTTCAGCAGGGAATAAACTTCTTATACATATGTGAGTGGAATTGCTTGTTGGTTGTTGGTACTTCAATGTTTAACAAAAGGAGGATAAAGACAAGATGTATTATTACACTTTAGATAATTGTTCAGCATCTTATACTGTAGACAGCCATGCAGTTTGTTATTCAAGATCTGACACATATGTAGTTAGTAAGAGATCAGTACATTATTGTGCGGATACACTAACCAGGACTACTTGAGGAAAATTAGCCAATAAGGACATAGAGTGACAACAAAGGAATCATACTTAAGTCAAACTTGAGCCAATAAGGAGCAAGCAATGAAGCCTAGATATCTTAGATGAGAGATTGTGATTGCATGAGGTCAATATGACACCGATTTTGCTCTGATTTTGCTCTTTGCACTGATTTTTGATTGGTTAAAGTTGTTTTTATCTTAAACTTCATTAAATTAGTCCCAGTAGTGTTTATGCACAGTACAGTCAGTAATACCTATTAATTAGTGTATGTAACTTCATAATTTCKCACAAGATATTTGTCTTTATGATCCATGTAACATATTTTTAAGATATTATTATATCTTTTAAGAAGATATTAAAACTGTTCACATTGCAGAAATGCAGATAGAAACTAGTTTATATCAGCTATCAGGTTAAGATATCATTCAATATAGATAGGTTATCAAGATTGACCCTGTCTCTTGACCTTTAGGTAATCACTCTAATACTTATGTACTTAACTGGAATGTGCATGGACAAGACTAATTATCTATAAACATCATCTGCAACATGCATGCAAGGTTAAAGCTACGATTTTTCTTCTTTTTATAAATGATGCATTACTATGAAAAATGTTTTTACAAATACCTATTTTGATTTGTAGGGTTTTTTTTCTTTCTTCTTCTTCTTTTTCGGCTTTTTTCTTTTTGACCCTAAATGTTTTTACAAATACCTATTTTGATTTGTAGTTTTTTTTTTCTTTTTTCTTCTTCTTCTTTTTCTGCTTTTTTCTTTTTGACCCTAAATGAAAATTACGACAGCCAACCAGAAAGCTTTAGCTCCTTTGGTTGTCGAACACTTACACCTATTGCATGTTATTTATAGTAAAAAAAATTAATATTATTCAAAATATTTTTTCTTGTAATTCTATTATATAAAATTGAAAAAAACAGTGTAAATAAACTGAAATTGAATTGAATTGATTAACAATTATGAAGAATGTCTCAAAGGTATTTTTAGCCGTGAATTTTAATTTTCAAAAGTAAGAAAAAATTATTTCCTTTTTTGTGTAATAAATTTATTTATAATCTTATCCCATTTCATTCCATCCATTTCTCATCCTATTAATAAATTGTTAAATTAATTATCTGTCATCTTATTTTTCTTTAGAAAAGTAAAAACAAACTGCTGGCCAGTGAGACAGAAGGCAATCAAACAACAACATCCCCACTGAACCCCGCTCTGGCTACTCCCRTCCCAGCGGGTTCCTCTTTGACTTGTCTGATCAATGAAAAGGCTATAACTCTATATGATATGATTGGTAATGGTGCATTTGGATATGTCAGAAAGGGAGAGTGGACCACAGATACCAAGCAAAAGGTATTTGAAAGATTAACTACGTTGTATGAAGAGATATCTAGCTAAAAACTAGTGTGAGCTGAGTCAGTGTTTCTAATGGCAATCACAAATGGAGCTCTGGTGAAATCTCAAAGATTGAATTAGAATTTAAAAGTTGTTTTTTATAAAGAGGAAGTGAGAGCTGGAGAACCTTGAGAAAAACCTCTTGAAGCACAGAAGAGAACCTGGACAACAAGCAACTCTACTCGATCACATTAAGATGCAAGTTCAAAATTGAATCCTTGTCACATTGACCAGAGAGGGCCAAGCGTTCTCACCTCTACACTATCTGTGCTTCATGTAAAAATTATCGTAAATGGATAGCATTGCTCTTCTCTGGAAAGCCTTAAAAAAAGCAGAAACYTCTGGGACTTGGCTTAATTAAATTKGAGTGATGGTTAGTGAGGCTACAAAAATTCATGTTTTCATTCATTCACTTCAGATTGAGGTAGCTGTAAAAAGTCTAAAGATGTCGAGGGATGCAGCCTTCCTACAGATGCAGATGGACTTTATCAAGGAGGCTAATGCAATGAGTCTGTTAGACCATCCACATATCATAAAGCTCTATGGTGTAGTGCTTTCCACTCCACTAATGCTGGTAAGTGCTTTTTTTAGGTATGGATCTAATTTTTTATTGAGGGGTGAGGGGGGTAGAGGTGGGGTAAGCTTATAAGCAAATGTAAAATTTTGGGAGGATATGGTGTTGAGTGTAAAAATCAGAAAATTTGGAGAACCCTTAAAAATGTATATCTGAAAACTGTAATGCATAAGGTTTTTATTTGCGACTCTCATGAACCTCCTTCAAGATTCTTCATATCCCAACCCCATTCCCCTCTCCTTTCATCCTCCAAAAATTCATAGCCAATAAAAAACTCAATTGCAGGACATCAAGGTGCATTCTGGTTTACCTTGGGTCATAAAAAGCACCATACAAAGTATGATGAGTTTATATCCACAAGCATAATAGGGTGCTCGCACTAAACCCGTGAAACAAATACATGTACTAATCTTTAGTACTAAATAGTGCGGTCTAGTGCGTGCACTCTATTCCAGAATACGGCTTGCTTACTATCCGAAAAAATCCATTGGGTGTCTCAGGGCAGCCAATGTAAGGGGTAGGAACAACGCAATGTTTTTGCATAAAAAGAGAAAATTACATGCTGTAGAAGTTCTTCAATAAACTATTATTTGTTTTTTTCTCTAGGTTACTGAGTTGGCACCCCTCGGTTGTCTTCTTACCTGCTTACGTAATAACCAGCCAAAGTTCCTGATATCCCAGCTCTGTGATTTTGTCATCCAAGTTGCGTCAGGCATGGCGTATCTTGAATCTGAACACTATATCCATAGGGATTTAGCAGCAAGAAATCTTTTACTGTCTTCCTATGATAAGGTACATAGATTTTATTATAGACTTCTTTATAGCTTACAGTAGTTGGAATAATTTCTTTCCCATTTCATGTGTCATTCCCCTGAGAATGGTTACATGACACTCAAACAAGTAATCTTATTCTCAAGGCAATGACACATGATATGAAATGAGAAAACAAACCTATGTAAGCTAAAACAGTCTATTGTCTAAATAAATGAAATTTTACTAACAAATATATAACCATAAGCGACCATAAATTTAATAATTGCAGATTTTAAAATTCAAAATATTTTAACATAAAATTCATCTGTAATTAAGGAGTTATCTTTTCAAAACTTCACATTTATACTAAGATTAAAATGACAAATTTGTCTGTTATCTCATTTTCGTTTGCAATAAACATCATAGCCGCCATGTTGGAAGAATTTGACAAAAGATTTTTCAATGAATTCTTTTGTTATATCTTCCAACATGGCGGACATCCCTTTTGTTATTGTGCTCTCTTGGGATTGATTGCAAACCAAGAATAAATGTCTTATCACTGAAACTGAAGGATTCAAGCACATCTTTTAACATAACAAATAAAAATAGGTTGATTTTTAAATCCTTTAAATAGGTTAAAATTGGTGACTTTGGCCTTATGAGACCGTTATCAATAGAGGAAGACTATTACACTATGAATCCAAAAGGAAAAGTACCTTTTGCTTGGTAAGTAGTTCAGGTTGTTCAGAAATCCATGTTGAGCTCTATGGCTTTCATACGTTTGGGTTACCTGTGTTGGAAATGTCTTCTGGCAGGTTCCATTTCTCGCTCCAGTTTTTTACGCAGGTAATCCAATTTGTTTCTCCCATTTTAGAGCAATAAGACCCCCTAAATAAGATATATTTTATATTATGTATTCAAAGCGATTAATGGAAAATACAAAATATAAATTTTATTCTTACCCTTTGGGTTACCTGTTTTGAATTTTTTTTCACCCGTGAACCCAGGCCCAATTTCTCTCCGCCAAATCTCTTACACAGGAAACCCATTTTCATTTCAATTGCATTCATTTGTTTCAGGTGTCCTCCCGAATCATTAAAATTCAGGAAGTTTTCTCACGCGTCAGACGTCTGGTCGTTTGGAATAACAGTGACCGAATTGTTCTCATATGGAGCAGAACCCTGGCCTGGTTTGAATGGCAATCAGGTAAACATGACTTCAAAGATTTAATTCGATTAAGAGAGAGGAGGAGGGAAGCCGTGAGAAGGAAGGAAATGAAAGGAAAGGAGGAAGGAAGGAAGGGAGAGGAAATGGAATGGAAAGGAGGCAAAGTACGCAAGCAGTATGCTTATGGTACGATTGGTCGCTGTGATAGCAGCGATGAAATAAGCTTGGCAATCAAAACGACATAGTACTGATATATTTCCGGCAGACATGTTTCGGCGTCCTTACCCCATCATCAGTGTGATAGTCCTTACAAATGCTTAAACACAGTGAATAGCACGTGTATATTCGTAGTGTAATACATAGTCAAGCTATTCTATATAGCGGTAAAACGCTAATGCTGCACGCAATTGTTCGTGAACTAGCCTTGAGATATAAATTCAATCTACTTTAGTCAGCTTCAAGACTTGATCAGTTTTACTGTGAGAAAAGTCTTCTTTCACGGTCGAGTAAATGTGATAAATTAATTAATTCCTTCAATTTAATTTTCTATTGTTCAAGCTGATCTGTACCTCATATATCTTGTGTATCGAATCAACAGATACTTCAGAAGGTAGATTTGCCCCATAGTGAAAGACCCCAGAAGCCCAGCCATTGTCCTTCCAAGATTTACAACATCTTGTTTTCGTACTGTTGGGCGCATGATCCAGCCAACAGACCCAAGTTTTCTGCTCTACAAAATATCTTTGAATCTGTAAGTATTTATGGATGTTGACCACTCTTTTCAGGTCTTAAAATAACGGCCAGACGTCGAATAAAGTCTGCCCAGAACTGAAACTTGTCCAGTGAAATCTTTGTCTGTTATTTTGACCAGTACCGTTAAGCTAAAAACGAGGTATAAGCGAGCAAAATCTAATTTTATCCGTCATCATGAGCGGCGACTTACCACCCGTTATTTTAATACCTGGGACTGCAATGATACCACAAATTAAGACTACATTATTTTAGCGCGCACTGTACCATGCCACCTAAATTCCAATTCGATCTGTGGTCGAAGCCCCTTGCAACCCCACCCGACGCCTCGGAAGTCTCTCGGAAGTGCTGTAAGTCCTTACATCAATAAGGAGACAAAAATTGAGAAAGTACGCGGAGCATTTCATTCAAGGGTGTAACCCTAAAAAATTCCATATTTGCTCTAGCGTCTTGAAGAAGTGGTTTCAAACAAGTGATCTTATGGTCCGCGTGTTTTGTTTTGAATCAGATTTGCCCACGAGATGCGAGCGCTCTACGTTGTTATGACAGCAAAAGCCCGCAAAACTTATGCTTCGAGGAGGGGGATTTTATTACCATCATAGAGTCAAGGTAAGCTACACCATACTTTCTATGCATGCCTTCTTTGTGCCTTAACAATAATAGTATACAAGGAGTATACACATTTGCAGAGGAGTAGTTCTCTTGAAAGCTTGTTTTCCGATTTTGGTGTATAAGAGTTAAGCGTTTAATCTTTTATCTTCATATCAGTAAAGCTTCTGACTTTGTAAAGTTGTTCCACATTTATTTAAAATCTGTAGAGATTCTTGATTTCATTTTCATTACCTCGTTTAACGGTTGCCAAAGGAAGACACATGAATATATGAATACAAATAAAACGAATAATCTTATYCTGAAGAGAATGACAGGTTTGAAATGGGAAGATATTATCCAAAGCTAAAAGGGATTGTTAAGACATGTCTTCAGTTTATGAACCAGTTTTTTTGCGGCTCTTTTCAGCTCTGACTCGTCCTGGTGGCGAGGTCAAAACAAGAGAACAGGAAGAGTTGGCATGTTTCCATGTGAGCTCATCGAAGGTGGAAAAGGTTCAGGTATGTTTCTGTTCGCTTTAAAAACTTCTAAGGTTAGTAAGGCTTAGGTCAAACGTCGAAATTCACATGAACCGAACCTGATTGAAACAATGGATAACAAGGCGGTCTTCTTTGATGTCATTAGGTTCGGCTCATGTGAAGTTGGACGTTTGACATGAGCCTTGGAGTCTTGAAACGTCTTTGACTTTAGCCAGTAGAATATATTTTATTAGTCGTGAAATAAGTCATTAGCTTTAATGACAAGGCTTGGTGAATATAGCCGGATTGGAGGCCTTTCGCATGCTAATCCATCGCTGAACTAGTTTTATAAAATTTGCCATACGAAATCGTGCTTGCTTGAGGGCGCTCGCCTCTCACCAATGCGACCCGGGTTCGAGTAGTCCCCCTCTCCCTCAATCCACCTCCCCTCCCCCTCCCCCCTCCGCCCTCGTCCCCAATCCCCCTCCCTCAGAGCCGCCACGCAGGCTAAGTCCCGCTGAGCTCGGTGTCGTATGTGAGTAGAGTTGCTTGTTGCTTCTCTCCTGTGCTTCGAAGGTTTTCCGGGTTCTCCGGCTTTCCTTCCTCCGCAAAAATCAACTCCTAAATTCCAACTGGAATTACAGTGGATGAAGAGCAAATCCCATTTATTTATTTTTCATTTTTTATTAAGTTATGTTGGTTGAGACATAAATTCGGTCTTTTAAATCAGCTTTTCTATCCTCCTTTTATAGGTTCATCTTCGCCCAATGTTGCTCGAGATCAAGTTGTCTCACCTAGGTAAGTGCCTCTTCCTCTTTCTTCTCCTTTCTTCTTCTTCTTAATTTCTTTTTCTTTCTTTCTTTCTTTTTTTTACATTCTACTGTACTCAGTATTGCAACATTTACTCTGTAGTCGAGATATTCGGCCTATTATTCTTTTACAATTCAGTATATTTTAAAACCTGTCTCTTAGCAACCTATTTTTCGTATTAGCAGAAAAGCTGCTCTTTCACCAAACAGCTCAGCAGCCAGGAAGAAACAGTGTGGTAAGTATCAACTCCCGATACCACTTAGTATAAAACTGAATGCTTGCGAGTTTGATAATCTGTTGATATACACCTAATTGAAAAACTAGTCGGGTTCGAGAAGGTCATATCATCGAAGCTAAGACCGAAAAGATTTTGGGTACTCCAAAATGTGTATTATATTTATAGACATGTAAAAATGCACAGTAGAGCAAAGTCGGTCGACCTAGATTAACAACATGCCAAAGCCATGATGCATAAAATGTGCACAGGAAGGGAAAACTGCAATACGCTTGAAATTAGCATAATTGTTTGTCTTCCTATGCTTTCCTTTGGTCTTAGCTTTGATGATATAACCTTTTTTTGAACCCGATGTTTTTTCAATTAGGTGTATACAGTACTAAAAGATCCTTTTTTGCTTGGTATCAAGCAGTTGCAGGAGTCGCATTACCAGCCCTCGGTGAAGGGCAAACATTGCCCTTCGTGCTCAATCGTCCAGTGTGCATTTCCACTAAGAAAATTATCATTCAGCTGGCTATAAATTCCACACATGATCAGAAACAACATTTATTGATAGCAGCCTATTGTTCTCGACTTTCATTTCAGATTGTGGAGAGAAGCACGTGTATGACTTTGCCGTACTCTTGAATTCCCCCACTCCCACCTCACCCGATGGCACAAGGGGGTCCTTGCGTTCATTCGAGAGCGAACTTATCTTCAATGCTGAAAATGACAGTGGTTATTCATCAAGTGCTGATCGCTTTCGGCGCTCAAACAGCGATTGCAGCCAAGACCTTCGAAAAGAGATGACTTCTTCCTACGAAAATCGCGATCCCTTGAATTACGAGTTTATGGGACATATTAATTCATTGTCTCATGCTTCTAGACCTGTTCCGATTCCAGACAAGGGGCATGGGAGCCCACATGGAGTCATGTCTGATCCTGTTTCTATCCCTGCTAAATCAACCAACAGGGATCGGTTGTCGGACCCAAATCCAACGCTCAAATCTGGCTTCTCTAAAGGACGAATCTCTGATCCTGAACCAGAGAGAAAACCCGGTCCTTTTACTCTTAAACGACGTGTGAGTGCCAAAAAGTTAAATTCCTTTTCGATTCCAACCAAAAATACTGAAAGTTCACAATGTCCCATGGACCTTACGGCTTCTGTGAAATCCCCGAAAAGAAATTCAGAAATTGAATCTCCACCTCCCCTCCCCCCAAAGAAAGGACCTTCAAGGCCTAATTCACGAAGCAGCAACAGTTCGGGGTCCCCGCAGAAGAGTCCAGTGCTTTTACCGAGATCGGATTCTTGTACAAAATCCAGCACTGAAGAAACGTTTGCTAACGAAGTGATGACGTTTATCAGGAGTGTTTCTTCGGATGGTTTTGAATATGAGGCGTTGAAGAAGGCGCAACGAGCTGCACGCAATCTGAGCCCTTCCAAGAATATCCCCGATGATGATGCTAGCGTGACGCTGCGATCAACGTCTGGTGGAACTCGTGCACGGTCTCAAACGGAGGTATTAAGCCCTTCGAAAAAGAGTCCAGTTGTCGATATTGGAGTTCCAGGGCGTCGGTCGARCTCTGTTGGAGGAAAAACACTACATGATCGTTCCAAAACAGAAGTACATGAGAACCAAGAAAGCGTTCCTCGTTGCAAAAGCATTGGAAGCAAGAGTCTTGATTATGAAAATCATGTCGTGGCTGCTAGACGAGACTTATYTTTTCAAAATTACGATAATTCTAAGCTTAAGTCTGTTCCCTCAAAGGAAGAAAAACCACAAAGCAGTTCTTTCTATGAAAATCATGCTATATCGTCAACTTTATTCGGAAAACAAGAAAGTTCGGATGGTAATGGCAGAGAGAGTTTGATAAAACTTGAACAAAGCATGGCAAATTATGATAACCATAAATTAGTGAAAGATACCTCAAGAATTAATCGTGTAAGCTACGAGAATTATACTCCAAAGTCTATGCCACAGAATTACGAAAAAATGGTTCTAAGAAAATCCTTTATTGAGACGGAAAACGTGATGGAAAACCTAAAGACAGACAAGGAAGTAAGCATACGGGATGGTAGTGGAAATTATGAGAATCATTCAATAGGTTCAAAGAAATATCTGCCATGCTATGAGAATTTTGTTTTAGTCGAACATACTGATATTCCAGAAGATATTTCTCGGGATTCGGCAAATGAGTGTCCCAGTTACGAAAATCATGGGTTTAGTGAGTTGGAAGCAGTTGGTAAAGAAGCACTCACAACGGAAGAAAACCAAACTGAAATTCCAGAAACTTTAAATGGGAAATATAATACGGACGTTTTTTCAAAGTCTCTTCCAACATGCTGCGACTGGAAGCTAGTGAAAGAGAATGTGAATGAAGATGGTTCTTTGTCAGTAATGGTGGAAGTGGTCGGGACATCAAACCTACGGAAGGCAAGTAGCGATGGTAATGTCAGTGAATCGAAACAGATCAAAAAAGTAGGTTCTAGGCCAGAGAGGGATGATACATCTGGGCCAATTCCCCCGCCYCGGTGGAAGAAGAGAGCTAAGGAAGCAAAGAAGCAGCGGACGCGATGGTCGTTGACGGTAGGTGGTGAATTGGCGAACGTTTTATCGAATTATTTTCATCAGCATGACAAGATTTTAAAAGACAGTAAGGAATCAATGCCACAAGAAGTGTGTAACAAAGATGTTGATAGAATCGATAATTCGATCCTACCTCCTCGAAAAGAATCCTTAAATTCATTCACAGAAGAGGCTTGTAGTAATGTCTCGGAAAGAACGTCAAAGGAAATTTCTTCGCAAATTACTTCACACGAAATGTTGTTGTCCTCACAAGAAAATGCGATGGATAGGACCGTCTCACCAACCTTATCAGAACAAAAGCTACCAACACCAGAAAAAGTATTGAATGACATTGTTTTGGAAAGCCATGGAGGTGACTCCTTGGCAACCAAGGAAGAAACATCATCGTCCAACGTTAGCTTACATTCCAACTCATCACGAGAGACACCTTCACATGCCCTAGAAAAGTTAACAAATGGCTTAGAAAATGTTAAATTGGATGACAAAAGTGAAGAGAAGCCTAAAAGACCTAACGTACTATCTTTTGAAAATAAACTTGTCGGATTCGCAGAGATGTTTCATCCTCAGACAAATGCAGATGAGCCAGAGGCTGTAGCTGTTCCAACTCTTCCTCCGAAGGAAAAGTCACCTGTAAGTTCACCTGATAGACGAAACAGCTCGAAAACCTCTCAATATCCAAGGTTATCCCGCGATTCTTCTAATGCAAAGCTATCATTTGAAGAAGATCATAAGAGATATAGGCCTTGTCCAACTAATGGTGGAAATGACTGCACATATGATATCCCACGTAAGGATGCAAGTGAAGATGTACCTCCTCCATTGCCTAGAAAAGTATCCAAAACAATAACTTCACCTGATGTACCACCAAGACCGGATCTTGCATGTTCGTCATGATTTTAAACGATTTTAAAATTGCTGCAAGTATGCTATTTATGCTCTGCAGTATCAGGAAAGGTCGTCCTGTGCCACTGTATACCAGGTGGTGAATTCTTGGGCAGGCTCTTGCTGTTGGGATTTGTGCAGGATTAAAATTTATCCAGAAAGATTGGTTGGTCAGTCGTTCAATCCAAGCACAAATGGGATTATGAAGTATGAGCAATGAGATATGAATAGTAAGAAAGTAAGAATAATAAAGTTGAGCAGTGACACCCAATGAAATAACTTCTCATGAACACCTCTCAGGCAAGAGGAAAAGTAACATGATTCTTAAAGTGCAGGTCTACTCTTACAGGGTTGGGAGTGATGTTAATAGAGTGCCCGCGCATGCTGTGCTGTCGTAAAGCATGCGCTCCCAACCAATCAGAACGCGAGAATTCTTTTATAAAGATGTATATAATAGACATAGGAACACCATAATCTTTATGATTCAGATTGGATGTTATGACTTTAGTGTACAGTATAGAAAATGATTGGTTCTTGTTTTGTGACATTTTAAAATGTTGATGCATAGAAAGTCAATTTGATGCATTCTGGACTAGCATGCAATAAAACAATTATTGTACAGTTTATCACTAATAATATGTCTCTTTAGGATATCATAACAATAATTAGCGCTGGAAGCTTATTTTTAGATCATTTTATTTCAAGTTGCTTTATTGCTCCTTTTTAGGTCATGTTATCAATTTTAGGTCAACTTCTTTATTAATAGATATTATTTTATTATTAATATTATGTTGGCTATTAATTTATCATAAGTAAACTTTAGGTTTCTACAGATTAATTTAAACATATTCTTTTTAATGGTTTTAGAATTTAGAATTTGTTTACAAAATTATTAAATTATTTGTTTTGCATATTATGGATTAATTATTAGAATTGCGAAGACTAACAAAACTCTTAAAGTTAAGATCCGAGTCCAACATAAATTAATAGGAGAATTTGTATAACTGCCAAATTTTCTTATTAAGTATTAATAAGTACATTAATAGGAGAATATAATGTGTTTGATTGATCACTTTCCATATGGCAGTACACTGCAACGCAATTAAGACTGCAAGGTACAAACTTAACAATGCCGTAAACCACCTTGGAGCCCAAATAGAGCGTTTTCAATAACCCACTTCCGATATATGCTTCGCTTGTCACGCACAAAGGTACGTGCTAAATGCTCAGTCATTCGTGACAGAGGGTAAGAATTAATTTAATTTAGCACACGTAGCCTCATACTGAAACCTTTGTGCGTGACAAGCAAAGCATATCTCGGAAGTGGGCTATTGACTTCACAGCCGCCATTGTTGGTGTACCTCTGACAATAACTTTGTTATTAGTTTATTTTGTTAGGTACACCAATATGGCTGCTGTCTCTATTGTCAACTTTCTAGGGAATGAGTGAAAATTCTCTATTAAACTGCTTTGGGTTTGATTCATGGAAAGTGGCCAATGTATACACAGATAGTGTCATGAGAATTATGTATACATATATATAAGTTTGCATGATGATATTGTGTAGAAATAAAATACAAAAATGACAAATCACAGTGATTGATGAGAGTAGAAGATGATCTTCCCCAATGATCATGAGTAGGTTTAGACTAATAGTATTTTGTATATAAATGAGTGTTCCATTAAGTGGGCTGTTAAAATGAATAATAAAATAAAATAATGAAAACAAAAACCATTGTTCCCTTCATGAATTGCTTACTCCTGTTGTTAAATAAGGTCAAATTTGAAAGTGTGAAGTATGTGTACATGTCTGGGGAGAGAGAGGGGAGGGGGGCTATGATCAAAAAGAGGGAGTATCAACATCATAGGGGATGTTCTAGCCTTGCTTTTGCTGCTGATATGGGAAAGCAACTAGATCATATATATAATTAATACTGCCATTTTCGATATTCTGCAATCTCGGTAGTTACAGGCTGCACGCTGAAATTTGTGTTTCCGCTGCTGTCAATCAAAACCAATTAGTCGGTACCTTTTATGTTCTTGACTGGCTACGCCTCATGGATCCACATTACTTTCACGATGTGATGATGACATTTATCGTCAAGAAGAGGACGGACACATAAAAAACTGATGTCTATTTGTTAATTTATTTTGTGCAATTAGAAGGCAATGCAGAGAACTGGAGAATTCATATTTACTTTATTACATGGCGTTCGTGCCCCATGTTCCCAGAGGTCTTCTTCAAACCACAGCAAGCCTTAGTATATACAAATAAGTGAACTATTACTAATAACTCATGTGCTAGCATTCTGATTGGTTAAACTACTAGTGGTCTTTTTCTCAATTACGGTAGAGAAAGAAAAATACCCGGGGGGGGGGGGGATCCCCCCTGTTACTTACGAACGGGCTCAGCTCCAAAAAAGTTGGTAGAAAAAAATCAATTTTCGTCCCTCACCGTAGCATTTGCTGGATGAACTTATTAAGTTTTAACTATTAAAAGCAGTCAAAAAGGTCAAGTAGGCACATGTCACATCCTCTCGCAGATACAAAACGAAATATAATGTCATATAAACAAGGGAAAAGAGACGTTTGAATGTACTGTATAATTACTATAACTTCTAACGAGAATACTCTCTTATAAATCTCGCTGATCTTTGATTTTATACATCGTGAGCCGAATCTCACTGATTCACACGCCACTAAAATAGACCCCCTCGGCTCTGACGTAATGTTGTCCCCTTTCAGACCACGTGTCATTCCCTAGAGTATCATTTCTTTGTTTAAGGTTTGCGCTCTGTTGCACATGAGAAGACACATGAATATGGACACAACTCAAACAAAGAATATTATTCTTAAGGGAATGACACGTGGTCTGAAATGGGACAACAATTAGTATATGTAATAGGACTCCATGCTGTCCAATAATTAAGAAATAATTGGACGAGAAAGATTCCGAGGACTTCCAAAATTGGATGAGGCCATAGGCGGAGTCCAATTTGGCAGTTAGAGGATTTTTTGGAGTACAATTATTTCTTGAATGGGGAGCATGAAATCCCATTACCTATTAATTATATAGCTGCCTAATTAATCCCATATCAACAAGGCCTGTCTAATTAAGAAATAATTGGATGAGGAAAATTCCGAGGACTGACAAAATTGGATGAGGCCGTGGGCCGAGTCCAATTTGGCAGTCAGAGGAATTTTTCAAGTCTAATTATTTCTTGATTGGGGAGCATGAAATCCCATTACCTATTAATTAT